CTGTTGGTGCACGCGTGGGCGTTGGCGCCGAAGTAGGGGGTGCTGCGGGCGTTCGCCGTCGTGGCGCTGCTGGTCGTCGCTGGGATGCGCGTGGCCGCCGTCATGGTGGCGGTGCGGGTAGTAGTGCTGCTGGTCGCCGTCGTCCTGGTGGCGGTGCCGGTCGTGGTCGTTGTCGTCGTGGTGGCGGCGCTGCTGGTGGTGCTGCAGGTCGCCGTCGTGGTGGGGGTGCTGCTGGTCGCCGTCGTGGTGGCCACCGTCGTGGTAGTGGCGGTTGTGGTGGTGGTGCCAGTCGCCGTCGTCGTGGTGGTGGTGTTGGTCGTCGTGGTGGCGGTGCTGGTGGTGGTGCTGCTGTTCGCCGTCGTGGTGGTGGCGTTTCTGCTGGTTGGTAGTTCTGCTGGTCGTCGTCATCGTGCTGCTGGTTGCCGTCGTCATGGTCGTGGTCGCCTTGGCGGTGGTGCTGCCGCCGGTCGTAGTCGTTGTGCTGCTGGTTGTAGTCGTAGTAGTGGTGCTGCCAGCGGTAGTGGTGCTGCTGCTGGTCGCCGTCGTGGTGGTGGTTCTTGTGCTGGTCGTCGTCGTGGTGGTGGCGGTGTTGGTGGTGGTGCTGCTGGTGGTCGGCGTCGTTGGTCTTCTGGTCGCCGTCGTCGTGGTCTTGGTCGCCGTGGCGGTGGTGCTGCTGCTGGTCGTAGTCGTCGTGCTGCTGGTTGTAGTCGTGGTGGTGCTGCTGCTAGTCGTCGTCGTGGTGGTGGTGGTGCTGGTCGTCGTCGTGGTGGCGTCGGTCCTGGTGGTGGTGCTGCTGGTGGTCGTCGTCGTGGTGCTGCTGCTGGTCGTCGTGGTGGTGGTGGTGGTGGTCGTGGTGCTGGTCGTCGTCGTCGTGGTGGTGGTCGTGCTGCTGGTGGTGCCGCCGCTGCTGGTCGCTGTCGTGGTGGTTGCCCTCGTGGTGGTGGCGTTGCTGGTCTCCGTCGTGTTGGTGGCGCTGCTGGGCAGTCGGAATGCTCTTGGGAGTAGTCGTGGTGGCGGTGCGGGTAATGGGGTTGCTAGTCGCGGTCTTCGTGGTGATGGTGTTGCTTGTCACCGTCGTCGTGGTTCGCGTAGTCGCCGTCTTGGTGGTGGTGCTAGTGGTGGTACTACACGTCGCGGTCGTGGTGGTGGTGCTGGTCGTCGTCGTCGTCGTGCTGCTGCTGTCCGTGGTGCTAGTCGCCGGCGTGGTGGCGGAGATGCTGGTCGTCGTCGTCATCGTGGTGGCGCTGCTGGTAGTGGCCGTCGTGGTGGTGGTGCAGCTGTTCACCGTCGTGGTGGCGACCCTCCTGGTCGCTGTCGTGGTGGTGGCGCTACTGGTCGTAGTCGTGGTGCGGTGGCGGCGGCGTTCGTCGCCCCCTGCGCTCGCGCCGCCGGGGGCCGCCCGTCTCAGGAGCGCGCGGGCGCACGGCTAGCGACTGGCGCTTCGGCGCGGCGCGCGTCCGCCAGGACGTCTTGGAACCGCGGCTCATCGCCGTCGCAGGCGAGGCCGTCCAGGGGCAGGTGCAGCAGAGAAGCCGCGAAGGCCCGCTGCGCCGCCACCGAGGCGAGGCCGGTCCACCGTTGGATCCACGCCGCCTTCACCGAGGCGCGCAGAAGCTCGGGCGCCGACCGGGCCTTGCAGTCCGCCAAGAGGCGCACGAATTGGAGGGCCTCCTGGGACCGCCTGCCCCCCACCTCCAGGGCCACGACCGCTAGCCGGCAGCGCCTCGCGCCCGGGAGCTCCGGGTAGGTGGTCTCCTTGCGGCGGCGGGCCTCGCGGAGCCACGCCGCGCCCTCGTCTGCCGCGCGCGGGCGGGCCTCGCCGCCCAGGCCGAGCGGGCAGACCAGCGCGGCGTCCGCGGCCAGCTGCGCCCCGCCCCGCAGCGGCAGGCCGCCGGCAATCACTTCGAGACGCCTGCCGTCGCCCGCGCCGACGCCGTCGACGTTGAGGCCCCGCAGGAACTGGTGGTTCTCCACCACTCTCGCCCCCGCCTCGCGGCAGATGCGGGCCGTCGCCTTGGCGGGGTGCTCCCCGCTTCTTGAGGGCGCCAGCCGTGGGGCGCGCCGCCCCGCGGTCTCCTCTGCTGTCGAGTCGTGCTCTGCGCCCGCACGCGCCTGCCGTGAATGGTGAGTCACGGCGCAGGCGGCGCAGGCGGAGGACGCGTAACTCCGAGGGTGGAACCCGCATGGGCTCGCTCGTGGGCAAGACCGCGAACGCGCGGCCAGCGCGCGGTCCGCTCTGGGAGCGCAGCATGGCGCGCTCAGGGGCGCGCATGCGTTGCGTGATGCCCTCCCTGGCTCCCTCCCTGGATCCCTCCGAAATGCCTCCGATAGATCGTCGAGATCCCTCTGGGAGCCTTCGGAGAGTTCTGTTGGAGTTTTCTGAGTAAGTTGAAAGCCGTATGAATAGCCCATTATGGCTAGGTGGCCGCGGCTGCACTCCTTCGGCTGCGCGCGCCCCTGGCGGGCCAGTGTCGCGGGGGGAGGGGGTGCGCGCGCCACCCCCGATCGTTTTCACAGCTTTGAATAAAGGAGCCGCCCGCACCTCCTCTGGGCCTTCTCTGGTTGCCCCCATCAGCTCCCGGAGGCCTCGGGCCCCGCCTCGCACGGCGCCCCCCCTGGGATGCTTCGAGAGGGCCTTGAGTGGCGCTCGAGCGAGATAACAGTTTTGAAAAGGAGCCGCCCTCAACCCCTTCCTCTGGGCCTTCTGTGGTTGCCCCCGCCAGCTCCCGGAGGCCTGGGCCCCCGCCTCGCGCGGCGCCTCCCTCTGGGATGCCTCGAAAGGACTTGAAGTGGAGCTCGAGCGAGAACGCGGTTTTGAATTTCCCTGGCGGAGGACCCATGCAATTATGGGTATCGTATTCGGTGGAGCTCCCTATCGTGCCACGAAACGCTGCACTGGGTGGGGGAGACGCATGCGAAGTTTGCCATTGGGGCCTTCGATGGATCTGCCTATGGGCCACGAAACGCTGCACTGGGTGGGGTGGGGGGAAGGGGGGGCGCGTGCGGACTTTGCCACTGGGGCCGTCGGTGGAGCTCCTTGTGGGGTCACGAAACGTTGTGCTGGGTGGGGGAGACGCGTGCTAAGTTTGCTACTGGGGCCTTCGATGGAACTCCCTATGGGCCACATAACGTCGTGCTGGGTGTGGGAAACGCATGCGGACTGGGCGGGGAAGACGACGCATGCGGACTTTGCCACTGGGGCTTTCGGTGGAGCTCCCTATGGGCCACGAAACGTCGTGTTGTGGGGGGGAACGCGTGCGGACTTCGCCACTGGGGCCGTCGGTGGGACGCGCGCGGGCGGTCCCATTGGAGCCTTCGGTGGGGTTCCATATGGGGCCACGAAGCGCTGTGCTGGGTGGTGCGTGACGCACGCGGGCGGTGCCACTGGGGCCGTCTGTGGGGCTCCTTATGGGGCCACGAAGCGCTGTACTGGGTGGTGCGTGACGCATGCGGGCGGTGCCTCTGGGGCTTTCGGCGGTGCTCCCTATGGGGACACGGAACGCTGCGCTGGGTGGTGCGTGACGCATGCGGGTGGTCTCACTGGGACCTCCGGTGGGGCTCCTTATGGGGCCACGAAACGCTGTGCTGGGTGGTGCGTGACGCATGCGGGCGGTCCCATTGGAGCCGTCTGTGGAGCTAGCTCCGTATGGCGCCACGAAGCGCTGTGCTGGGTGGTGCGTGACGCACGCGGGCGGCCCCAGTGGGGCCGTCGGTGGAGCTTCCTATGGGGCCACGAAGCGCTGCGCTGGGTGGTGCGTGACGCACTCGGGCGGCCCCATTGGGGCCTTCGGTGGAGCTAAACTCCCTATGGGGCCACGAAGCGTGTGAGTGGTGTGTTGAAGCGGGCGACGATGATTGCGATGGCGGGGGGAGAGAGGATTGAGGAGGGAGGGGGGGGAGGAGGAGGAAAGGAAAAGAACGCGGGGCACCGTCTCTTCAGAACGAGGACCCAACACCACAGGATGGTTGGAAAAAGGAAACCGCCCGCATCTCCTCGTCTGGGCCTTCTCTGGTTGCCCCCCATCAGCCCCCAGATGCCTCGGGCCCCGCCTCGCACGGCGCCTCCCCCTGGGGCGCCTCCAGGGGGTCCCCGTTGCAGGCGAATCGCAAACAGGCAAAACAACATTGAGACAGAGCAAACGAGCAGGCGGCAACAACATTCAGACTCGAGCAGAACAAACGAACAAACGAGCAGGCGAGCAGAGCAAACGAGCAAACGAGCAAAACAAACCAGCAGGCGATTAGAGCAACCGAGCAGGCGACTGACTGCGGCAACGACATTACTTCGCGCCGCGGGCCCACTTTCATTCACGACTCTCAGCAGTGATGGTGATGGTGGGTTTCTGAGGTTCGTTCCTGGGTTGCGAGCTGTTGTGCTCGTGTCTGGTTGTGGGTCGGCGGTCCTCCTCCTCCTCCCCCTCCTCCCCCGTAGCCATTTTGGCTCAAGATGCAGGTTTCCCCAGGGAACCAAGCGGATGCCGCTAGTCCGCGGATGGCAAGACTTCTTGAAGTCTGGCACCATCTCTGGTCCACCTCGCCAGCGCTCGGGTCGGTGGGTAAACGGAGGCCTTTTTCCCGTTCCTGTCGGCCCGATCGCTCCCAGATTCGAAGCCGTGGGCCCTGCGCGGGATGGCGCGCATGTGGGCGATGGCTGTGCTGCTGGCGCTGCTGGCCGTACAACCTCCTCGGGCGGCTCCTCCTCGTCTTCGCGCGAGAGGCCCAGGAGCGTGGAGCGGCGCCGCCGCAGGCGCAGCGGGCGCTTGTCCCGCGACCGCGCACGAGATGTGGAGGCTGAACGTGAGGAAGCCAAGAGAGCGGCACTCGCTGCGCTCAAGGCCGAGGAGGCGGCCTTCCTGGAGGCGGAGGCTGCCTGCCCCACGCTCCCCTCGCAGCCTGCTGCGGCCCCGCGCGACCCGTGGGCGGCTGCTGCTGCTGGCCTCAGTGCTGCCCCTGCGGGACCTGGAGCACCGCGGGCGGCCCCCTGCTCACCTGTTGGAGGCATGGCCACGCCCGTCCTGGGGGAGGACCCTGCTGGGCTGGACGGCGCGCCGCCCGAGGCCGCGGCTGCCATCGCCCACCTGCGGGAGACGCTCTTCGCCGAGGTGCGCTCTAGCCAGGAGCGCCTGCTGCAGAACATGGACAAGAGCCTGGGCGGCATTCAGCGGGCGCTGGAGCGCCGCACGGCGCTCCTTGAGAGCAGGCAGGGGAAGGTCGAGCGCATTCAGCAGCAGCGGGAGGAGGACGCCAAGAGGCTCGAGGACGAGATGCGGAGGCGCCAGAAGGAGACGGACAAAATCATGGCGAAGCACTCTGCTGACCTGGCGCAGCTGCAGCGGGAGCTTGGCGTGGTCGCTGCAGGCGCGCCTCCCCCGCCTGAGACGGGGCCTGCTTGGAGCCGTGCGATCGACCGCGCGGTCATGGTCGTCACCTGCAAGGCCCCGCTCATGCGTGCGGCGGTGGAGCGTGCCATGGCGCCCGTGCTGGGGGATGCGCAGCTCACGGAGGTCTCGAAGGTTGAGGGCGACGACTTGGGCCAGCGCTTCGTGGTCAGGATGGGGGGTGACGTGGGCCTGGCTGAGCGCAGGGTGCGCAAGTTGGTGGCCACGCTTCGCGGCGGAGGCCCTGGCGGCACCTGGCGCCAAGTTGCGGCCGCGACTCCGACTGGCCACACCGCGCCGCTGTCCCTCAGCAAGGACAAGAACTCGCGCCAGGTGTCCCACGAGATCACGCTCAAGAAGATGCGACGTGCGCTCGAGGAGGGTCTCTCGAAGCGCATCTTCGTCGATCCGGTTGGCCCTGACCAGATGGAAGGCACCCTCTCCATGGCTTAGCAGCCCCTGGTCAAGATCGCGATCGAGGGCCCAGGTTCCCCACCGGTTGTCCAGTGGAACGCTGCCGTCCTTCGCCGACACCAACTTCCTCGTGGGCAGCTGGAGCAGATGGTGGCGCCCGTCCTGGCCCCGTCGACGGCGGAGTGGTGCCTTTGACAAGGCTGCGGCCCGCTGGGGTCGGCGGCGGAGGGATGAGGGCGCCGCTGAGCTTGGGGGAGGATCTAGTCGAGTCGAAGATGGTGGTGCTGTGGGAGATGGTCTTGGGCACGGGCATGACGATCCTGTCGGTCCGCGTGCTGCGGCGGCCGACTTCGCGCCCGCCTCTGCCGCGTGGAACGCTAGGGCGCTGTGTCATTTCAAGCCTGCTACGGCGAAGGCGAGGGCGAAGTTCCTTGCCAAGTTTTGGAAGCGCGACTCGGTCATATCGGGACTTCAGGAGGTGCACGGCTCGCACATCCGCTTGACTGAGCTGCTCAAACATGCGGGTATTCGAGCCCGTGTATTTACTTCGTTCTGTGAGGGAGAACGTGAAGATACTGGCGGGCTGGCCACTCTTTTCCCTATGCGTAGGGCTGATGATGATGAGAGCGTTGTGGGAATCGTCAATACTGGTGACTGGCAGGGTTATGCGTATCCGAGCCATGTTCAGTGATGACACGGGGAGGCCCTGCACGCTTACACACTGGAACATTCACAACCACGGCTCCGACTGCGGATCGCAACGACGTGTCCAGGCAAAGATCTCGGCTGACCTCCTTGAGGCCAAGCGGGGCCCCGTCAAGGCAGCTGTACTTGTTGTGGGCGACTTCAATTTCGGCGACAGGCTGGAGCACTGCCATTTTGGCGACGACGCTCCTTCCCGATCTGTTGCTGCAGCTCGACACCCGCAAGAGCAGCGTTGGCAGCGCTGCCTGAGTGATGCTGTGGAGATGGTTGCCCCGTGCGCGACCCACTTGCATGCTGGCCGCCAGATTGAAACCAGGATCGATCGGGTCTTCCTGGGCGTTCCGTCCTGGCTGGTGACCCAACGAGTCCAGCAATGCGAGGTGCTGGGTGAGCCTGAGGAGCTGCACAGGAGGGACATCAGCGACCTCGCGCCAGTCCTGATATCCTGGATGTGGCGCCCGCTGCGCCCTCGAGATCCGCTCAGGCCCGCCCCGATCCCCCGGGACATTGTGAACTCCTCCATGTTCAAGGAGAAGCTGGCCCAGTACTGCTGGACCTGTCGTCGCGCGCCCCGCCTGACATGCACCAGGTGTACGTGCGAGCCATGCAGGCGGCTGCGGCAGAGACGCGCGATGCGCAGCTGCAGGGCATGGCTTGGTCGAAGCGGTGCACGGCGCTGATCTTCAGGCAAGTGGCAAGGGTGGTGGCGCGCCAACACGTCTCGATGGCGGAGAGGCTCCTCGTTCGACACACCTGACTGGATGAGCTGATGGCTGTTGATGTGATGAAGGGCGTGGTGATGCTGAAGGACCACGCGGAGTTTCTCAGACGCTTTGTCCTGGTCCTGGCGCAGCGGCGTGTGGCCAGGGCCAGGCGCGCCGAGCTTCAGGCGGAGCTTGAAGCCGATGAGGAACAGCTACGAGTTTCTGATCGCCGTCGGCTCCTTGGACAGCGCCGAGCCCTGGAACGTCGTGCTGCTCCCTGATCGGTTCTCCCGCGGCGGCACCTTGCGGCCGTGGAAGCCCCTGGCGGCAGGCTGCTCTCCTCGCCTGCCGAGATCCACGAGGCGCTGGCGAACCACTGGGGCGAGGTCTTCTGCCCCCCCGCTCGCGCAGCGCGCCTGGCAGCGGAGGGCGACACCTCGGAGCGCTGCCGACGCGAGCGTGACTCCAAGGCCTTCATCCCGAAGTACGGCATGAAGGAGGTTGACTGGAGCTCTCTGGCGCCTCCCTCGGCCATGAACATCGAGGAGGCTCTGAGGCGCGCTCGGCCTGCTGCACCTGGGGTCGATGGCCTGCCCGCGCGGGCGTGGCTGTCGCACTCGGCGGGCTGCGAGGTGCCCCTGGCGGCTCGCAGATGGATGGCTTTGGGCCGTCCCATGCGCAGGGAGTTCAACATGAGCATCGCCATCTTCCCGCCGAAGAAGGTGCTGGACGGCGACGGCATGGAGGTCATCAGGAAGCCGAATGAGACACGACCACTCGTGCTGCGCTCCACGGGCCCCAAGGCCATCGCCTCTGCGGTGAACTTCAAGCTGAAGAGCATGATCGACCGTGGCGCCTCGAAGGCGCAGCGAGGCTTCATCACGGGGCGGAACTTCCTGGAGAACCTGGTGGAGCTTGACGCCATGTCCCGCGTCGCCTCCATGTGCGCATTGGAGCAAGCTCGTGGCTGGGAGGAGCCGACCCTCCTGAGCTTCGACTTCGCTCACGCCTTCCCGTCGCTCCTCCATGACTGGATGTGGCGGGTGCTGGAGGCGTGGACGGTGCCGCTCGGCCTGGAGCACCTGCTGAAGGAGTCCTACGCCAACGTCGAGGTCGTGGAGGCGGGACCCTGCCACTGGGTCCTCTTCGTCATCTTGTGCGGGATCTTGCAGGGTGACCCGCTCTCGGGGACGATGTTCGTGATCGGTGCGCAGCCGTTCGTGGAGGCGCACATGCAGCAGCTGGAGGCCAAGGCCCTTGGCCTGACTCGCCGGCGTGCTGATGACATCCAGGCCCTGATCTTCTGCAGGCGGGGGCTCCGCACACTGGCGAGGATCTTCCGCCTCTCGGAGCGCCTCGCTGGCCTCCAGCTCCAGCCCAAGAAGTGCGCGGCCGTCCCGCTTTGGGCTCCGTTCTCGGCGGAGGTGGAGGACGCGATGAGGAAGTGCCTGGACGAGGCCTGTGGGTGGGGCTCCTTCACCGTGGCCTCGTCGGTGGAGTTGCCGGGGTGCTTGGTGGGCCCTGGTGCATCGCTGGCGGCCCAGTGGGCTGCGCCACTCGCGCGCCTTCGTGAGCGGGTCCTGGCACTGGCGGCATCTCCGCTGGACATGACGGCCGCCTTCTTCGAGCACGGCCGTCGATGCCAGCCCGTCCTGGCCTGCAAGGCACAGCTCTGGCCGATGCCGACGGAGCTGATTGACGATGAGCGCTCCCTGCTGTGCCGGCTCGCGAGGTGCTCGGGACGCTTGTTCAAGAAGAACACGTTCTTCGACTTGGAGACGCTGGTGGGTCCAAGATGCGTGCCCACGTCGGACCTCCTGGCGGCGTCCCTCATGCGCGCGGCCCTCTCGACGCTGGAGACATGGCGGCGGGCCGCTGCGCACCTGAGTGAGGTGGCCCCCAGGCTGCCGATGGTGCGTTGCATGTCAGGCCAGCCCTGGCCTGCCTGGTGGGAGGCGCCCGCCCCCGCAGTCACGCTGGCGCGCGCAGAGGCGGCGGGGCGCGAGCTGCTCGAAAAGAGCGGCGCCCCCCCCCTCCTTTCCTCCAGCCAAGGTGGGGCGGGTCGGTGGGAGGACGGGCGGAGGAGAGGGCTGCAGCGTGAGCTTTTAGTGGGCCTGCGGGCCTCCAGGGATGGGAATCTGCGGGGCCTTGTCTCGGAGAGGCTCCCCGAATGGTTCGGGGTGCCCCCCCTGGAGGCTGCGGCTGTAGTGTGGCATGACGTGGAGCAGGTCCTGATGCGTGCGCCCCCGAGCTGGAGGTGTGCATGCATCAAGGCCTGGCTCGGGGGCTGGGTCACAGACACCCGTCTCCAGAATCGTGACCGTAGATGCTGCCTGGGTTGTGATGCCCCAGATAGCCTGAGGCACTATTTCTGGTGTCTGCACTTTCGTGAGCTGGTGCGGGTGGCCCTTGGTCGCCCGTTGCCCAGTGATCCTCTCTCTGCCCTTGCCCTCGTCGCCCCCACGCTGGATTCGGCTCGAGGAGTTGCGTTGATGTTCCGTTTGCACCGCCTTCTCCACCTTGAGAAGCGCGAAGCCACCAGAGGGACGGCCCCTGCCTCGGTCGCCCGCTCGATCGCCAGGGCTGCGCGTCAAGCTGTGGACCTCCCTGCTGGTGGCAAGTCGGCCCGACGGGCCCGTAGAGTGGCTAGGTAAGGAGATCAGACTTTCCTGAGGACGTTCCGCCTCCTCCTCCTCCTCCTCCTCCGCCTCCTCCTCCTCCTTATCCTCTTTTTTCCCCTCCTCGTCCTCGCCGCCCCTGTCGTCTTCCAGTTCCTCCCCATCCTCCCGTTCTTCCCCCGGTTCTCCGGCTGTTCCTCGATCGGCCCCTCCACCTCTTGTTCCTCTTGTTTCTTGTCCTCATTATGTTCCCCCTTCTCCTCCTCCTCCTCCTCCTCGATCCTCTTTCCCCTCCCCCCCTTCAGTTCCCGCTCCTCCTCCTCCTCCTCCCGTACCCCTTCCTCCTTCTCGATCCTATTTCCTCTTCGTCCTCCTCCTCCTCCACTTCCTCCTTCTCCCCCCCGTCTTCCTTCTCATTGTTTGTTTCCGTCCCCATCTCTTCCTCCTCCTCATCTTTCTCCTCCTCCTTCTCCTCTTCCTCCTCCGCCTCCTCCTCCTTTTTCATCTTCCTCCTCGCGAAGGGCTCATCGTGCGCAGCACCTTTATGTGATTCAGAAGCGCGGGTTGTCCAACGTTGAGAAGGGCAACGCCATTGCCACGCACACTAGTACAACGACATGTCGGACGAACTCGACCCCCGGTCGGATTCATGTTGTTTCGGCGGCAATGTAAGTGACTACGTGTAAGGGGTGAATTCGCGCTTATGGTCGCTACGACATTGTAACACAACAGTTTTAATCATGAGCTGAGTCGGGGAGCGAGTTCTTTCAAATCAGTGTTACTTCCGCCGTGGAACGAGTCGAACAACCGGGGGACGAGTCGTTCAACCGGGGAACGAGTCGCTCGCCCGATTTGGTAGGGGCGGCAATGGAGACATATGTTTGGTGTTAGGATCAGGCCGCCATTATGGCTGCATTGGAAGGCTCGGCGCACGGGGACCACGCACAAGCGGTAGAGCGTCCGTGCCCGGTTTTGGCGCCCGCGAGCCAGAACAGCCATGGAAGGAAGGTAGGGCGAAAAGAAAGCAAACGTTGATACAACTCGTCTCGCCCTCAGCCCTGTCATTACCCCCGTGTCGTCTCAGACGTCCGACCGCTCCAATTCTCTCGATGCGTGGGCCCCGGAGATCTCAACCACTTCCCTGGGGCAGGCTTTTCGTTCTGAGTCGTTTTTGGACTGTCCAGAGGCATGGCGAGGGCTCCCAGAGGCCGAACCCGGCCAAAAACCAGCAGCTACATTTTTGGGGGAGTGTGTGATCTCTGGTCCCCCTCGGACCCCCGGCCAGGTGCCCGCTTTCTGCCCCGGGCGCGCGCCGCCGCCAGCGGGCGCCGTCGCCGCGGCGCGACGCCTCGCGCCCCGCCCGCGCGTTTCGCGCCGCGGCGCCGTCGCCGCCGCCGCCGCGGCGCCGCCCAGTGCCGCTGGTGCCGCGTGGGGTGGGCCGGCAGCGCCGGCGGCCTTCCGTCGTCCGCCGTCTCTTCCTGTCGACTATACGTGAGAGTGACCCTTCGCCGGAGTGACCTTCGGTGCGGGCTCATCGGGGTCCCCAGATTGCTGAGCGCGACACGATAGCGGCTGCCTGCGCGCTTGGGTTTGGCCACCTTGCGCCCTTTTTAGTCCGCGCATCCAAGGTTACTCTTACCTAATTAGGGTCACTCTACGTTTAGCCGATCCTGCCACGGCCCCTGGGCTCCCAGGTGCTGGTGGCGGAGTGGCGCCCCCAAAGAGTTCCCCATACCCATATCCCTCGGGCCATGCAGAAATCACGGCGGGAGGTTTTTGATTCTTTCCGGCCTGTGGGGGCCCCCACCGGGCCTTGGGGTCGTCAAAAAGCGATTGGGGACGAAAAACCGATCCCGAGGAGTGGGTCGAGATTTCCAGGGGCCCACGCCGAACATCGAGAGAACCTCCGACCTGACTTTTTTAAGGACGTTGCATGCCTGGGACGGCATTCCTTCCCGCCGCTCTCACGGTTCCCCCCCCCGCCCCCCTAGTAGCCAGATCCCTCCCTTTCGGCCTCCCTCTGCAGTAAGGTAAGGACGCTGTTGGCGATAAGTTAGCCGCAGCACATCATGACAAGAAAAAAAAAACAACGATTCCCCCCCGCCCCCCCCTGCGACCTATCCGCGATGCCTCCGCGCGACTTTCCCTTCGCACTCCCACAGCACACTCTGGGTCCCGCGCCGGGCGCCCGCGGGGCGCCCGCCGCCCGGCCCCGGGGGCACCGCCCGTCGCAGCTGCTGGCACCAGCCGCTCCGAGGGTGGTCATGTACGCCGTCAGGAAGTGTTCTTTCGCACCCCCTCTTGCCCACATATCTACAGTCAAAAACCCGAATTACATTACCGAGGAACCCCACATACTTATATTATGGCTGGAGTGATGGTAGCTGAAGTGAAGCATGTGAGAATGATGTTGGTGGCCATTCCCTGCGCATCCCCTATGGTGTAGAGAAAGTGCCACGCCTGTTGCGCCCTGGACGACCGGCGCGCATAGCGGCCACGGTGAGGGCCACCCCCTGCGCACCCCCTCTGGTGTCGAGAAAGTGCCACGCCTGCTGTGTCTGGACGACCGTCGTGCATAGCGGCCGAGCTCAGGGACCACCCCCTGCGCACCCCCTCTGGTGTCGAGAAAGTGCCACGCCTGCTGTGCCTGGACGACCGTCGTGCATAGCGGCCGAACTCAGGGACCACCCCCTGCGTACCCCTTCTGGTGTCGAGAGAGTGCCACGCCTGCTGTGCCTGGACGACCGTCGTGCATAGCGGCCGCGCTCAGGGACCACCCCCTGCGCACCCCCTTCTGGTGTCGAGACAGTGCCACGCCTGCTGTGCCTGGACGACCGTCGCGCATAGCGGCCGCGCTCAGGGACCACCCCTGCGCACCCCCTTGTGGTGTCGAGAAAGTGCCACGCCTGCTGTGCCTGGACGACCGTCGTGCATAGCGGCCGCGCTCAGGGACCACCCCCTGCGCACCCCCTATGGTGCCGAGAAAGTTCCACGCCTGCTGTGCCTGGACGACCGTCGTGCATAGCGGCCGAGCTCAGGGACCACCCCTTGCGCACCCGTTCTGGTGTCGAGAAAGTGCCACGCCTGCTGTGCCTGGACGACCGTCGTGCATAGCGGCCGCGCTCAGGGACCGCCCCCTGCGCACCCCCTTGGTGTCGAGAAAGTGCCACGCCTGCTGTGCCTGGACGACCGTCGTGCATAGCGGCCGCGCTCAGGGACCACCCCCTGCGCACCCCCTATGGTGTCGAGACAGTGCCACGCCTGCTGTGCCTGGACGACCGTCGTGCATAGCGGCCGCGCTCAGGGACCACGCCTTGCGCACCCCCTCTGGTGTCGAGAAAGTGCCACGCCTGCAATGCCTGGACGACCGTCGTGCATAGCGGCCGCGCTCAGGGACCACCCCCTGCGCACCTCATTATGGTGTCGAGAAAGTGCCACGCCTGCTGTGCCTGGACGACCGTCGCGCGCACCGGCCGAGATCAGGGACCGCCCCCTGCGCACCCCTTGTGGTGTCGAGAAAGTGCCACGCCTGCTGTGCCTGGACGACCGTCATGCATAGCGGCCGCAGGGACCACCCCTTGCGCACCCCCTCTTGGTGTCGAGAAAGTGCCACGCCTGCTGTGCCTGGACGACCGTCGTGCATAGCGGCCGCGCTCAGGGACCACCCCCTGCGCACCCCCTATGGTGCCGAGAAAGTTCCACGCCTGCTGTGCCTGGACGACCGTCGTGCATAGCGGCCGCGCTCAGGGACCACCCCCTGCACACCCCCTATGGTGTCGAGACAGTGCCACGCCTGCTGTGCCTGGACAAATGTCGTGCATAGCGGCCGCGCTCAGGGACCACCCCCTGCGCACCCCCTGTGGTGTCGAGAAAATGCCACGCCTGCTGTGCCTGGACGACCGTCGTGCATAGCGACCGAGCTCAGGACCACCCCCTGCGCACCCCCTTGGTGTCGAGAAAGTGCCACGCCTGCTGTGCCTGGACGACCGTCGTGCATAGCGGCGAGCTCAGGGACCACCCCCTGCGCACCCCCTTATGGTGTCGAGAAAGTGCCACGCCTGCTGTGCCTGGACGACCGTCGTGCATAGCGGCGAGCTCAGGGACCACCCCCTGCGCACCCCCTCTGGTGTCGAGAAAGTGCCACGCCTGCTGTGCCTGGACGACCGTCGTGCATAGCGGCCGCGCTCAGGGACCACCCCCTGCGCACCCCCTGTGGCGCTCAGTGCCACGCCTGCTGTGCCTGGACGACCGTCGTGCATAGCGGCCGCGCTCAGGGACCACCCCCTGCGCACCCCCTGTGGTGTCGAGAAAGTGCCACGCCTGCTGTGCCTGGACGACCGTCGTGCATAGCGGCCGCGCTCAGGGACCACCCCCTGCGCACCCCCTGTGGTGTCGAGAAAGTGCCACGCCTGCTGTGCCTGGACGACCGTCGTGCATAGCGGCCGCGCTCAGGGACCACCCCCTGCGCACCCCCTGTGGTGTCGAGAAAGTGCCACGCCTGCTGTGCCTGGACGACCGTCGTGCATAGCGGCCGCGCTCAGGGACCACCCCCTGCGCACCCCCTGTGGTGTCGAGAAAGTGCCACGCCTGCTGTGCCTGGACAAATGTCGTGCATAGCGGCCTAGCTCAGGGACCACCCCCTGCGCACCCCCTATGGTGCCGAGACAGTGCCACGCCTGCTGTGCCTGGACGACCTTCGTGCATAGCGGCCGAGCTCAGGGACCACCCGCTGCGCACCCCCTATGGTGTCGAGAAAGTGCCACGCTTGCTGTGCCTGGGCGACCGTCGTGCATAGCGGTCGAGCTCAGGGACCACCCCCTGCGCACCCCCTCTGGTGTCGAGAAAGTTCCACGCCTGCTGTGCCTGGACGACCGTCGTGCATAGCGGCCGCGCTCAGGGACCACCCCCTGCGCACCCCCATGGTGTCGAGAAAGTGCCACGCCTGCTGTGCCTGGACGACCGTCGTGCATAGCGGCCGAGCTCAGGGACCACCCCCTGCGCACCCCCTGTGGTGTCGAGAAAGTGCCACGCCTGCTGTGCCTGGACGACCGTCGTGCATAGCGGCCGAGCTCAGGGACCACCCCCTGCGCACCCCCTGTGGTGTCGAGAAAGTGCCACCCCTGCCACGCTCTGCCGTGCCGTGCCCTGCGCGCCTGCCCTGTGTGCTATGCTGTGCTGAGCTGTGCTGCGATGTGCTGTGCTGTGCCGTGCCGTGCTGTGCTGCGGTGTGTTGTACTGTGCTATGCTGTGCTGTGCTGTGCAAGTGTGCTGTGCAAAACTGCCACGCCTGCTGTGCCGTGGACGACCCCTATGGCGTCGAGAATGTGCCGTACGTGCCAAGCCGTGTGTGTGTGTGTGTGTGTGTGTCTGTGTGTCTGTGTGTCTGTGTGTCTGTGTGTCTGTGTGTCTGTGTGTCTGTGTGTCTGTGTGTCTGTGTGTCTGTGTGTCTGTGTGTCTGTGTGTCTGTGTGTCTGTGTGTCTGTGTGTCTGTGTGTCTGTGTGTCTGTGTGTCTGTGTGTCTGTGTGTCTGTGTGTCTGTGTGTCTGTGTGTCTGTGTGTCTGTGTGTCTGTGTGTCTGTGTGTCTGTGTGTCTGTGTGCCTGTGTGCCTGTGTGCCTGTGTGCCTGTGTGCCTGTGTGCCTGTGTCTGTGTCTGTGTCTGTGTCTGTGTCTGTGTCTGTGCTGTGCTGTGCTGTGCTGTGCTGTGCTGTGCTGTGCTGTGCTGTGTGCGCTGTGATGTGCTGTGCTGCGGTGCGCTGCGCTGCGCTGCGCTGCGCTGCGCTGCGCTGCGCTGTGCTGTGCGCGTGAGGAGGAGGGGGAGGAGGAGGAGGAGGAGGGGAGGAGGGCGGGTGTGGGTGAGACGCGGGTGCGGCGCGGGTGGGAAGAAAACCAGAACCCCACGAAGCATGTGGGGAATAAGGACGCGCGACTTTGCTCAGGGTACCCTTGCGTCCTTGCTCTTCCTTGCTCTTGCGTCCTTGAGGTTTTCGTCGTCCGCCGCCCCAAAAATCGAAACTTCGGCTTCCAAGGGTCTTGCGTCCTTACCGCGCGTCCTCATTAGGGTTTTTGACTGTACAGCCTCTCTGCCTGCCGCCCTCCCCGCCCACCACGGGCGGGCAGCGCGCGACCTACCTGGGAGGGTTTTGGGAGGCTCTCGCAGGAGGCCCAGCGAGAAGTCTTACTGCCACCTATCTCCTGCGACTCTCGGCATCACGGGAGTCACCCGCGGCCCAGCCATGGCCGAGATGAGCGCCTTCGTCTGCCCAGGCCAAGGCGACGATTTCCTCTTCGCGGACGCGGAGCTTCGGGGAAGAGCAGGAGGAGAAGGAGGGGGAGGAGGAGGAGGAGGAGGAGGAGGAGGAGGAGGAGGACCAGTGTAAACCCAAGAGTCATCAACGATGTTGGAATACACCCTCCCTCCAATCTCCGTCTTCATAGGCCCCTACAACTGTTATTTCCATTAAGGGAACTGCTTCGTTGGAAGACAACCGTTTGGAGAGCCTGAAGCATGCCGAAGCATTGTTCCCGGGCTCCAACGCCACGGATAAACCTGAATGTTGCGTCTTGACGATCTGGAATCGTGCCAGAACACCATTCTTGGGACGTCAACATCGCAAATCGATGTAACTGTTGCGCCCTCATAATCCTAAATCCCCCAGACAAGTGATTTTTGGTACGCAGACCACGGGAATCCGAAATGTTCTTGCACAGTTTACGAAAGAACGTACGCGGCGCTTGGGCGAGAGCCACATTTGAAAAAGGAACCGGCCTCAATCCGTGAAACCTTTGCAAAGCTCTAGCAACGAATGTGCACGGCGCTAGGGCGAGAGCCACATTTTGAAAAGGCCGCCCTCAATTCGTGAAACTCTTGCAAATGTTCAAAGAGAGTGTGCGTGGCGCTAAGGCGAGAGACACACTTTGAAACCGACCCGCTCCCAATCCGTGAAACTCATTCAAATTTCTAAAACGAAGGTGCGCGGCGCTAAGGCGAGAGCCACATGTGGAAAACGATCCGCCCTCAATCCGTGAAACCCTTGCAAATTCTTAAAACGAATGTACGCGAATCAACATAATTATCGTACCCGCATAACCTTGAGTTCCCCAAGCAAATAATTTCTTGGTGCGCTTATCGCGGGAATCCGAACAACTATTGCAAATGTTACACAATAATGCGCGCGGCGCTTGGGCGAGAGCCACACTGTGAAAAGGAGCCGCCCTCAATTCGTGAAACTCTTGCAAAGCTTTAGGAACGAATGCGCACGGCGCTGAGGCGAGAGCCACAATTTGAAAAGGAACCGCCCTCAATTAGTGAAACTGTTGCAAATGTTTTAAAAGAATGTGCGCGGCGCTCAGGCGAGAGCCACACTTGGACAACCGACCCGCTTTCAATCCGTGAAACCCTTGCACATGTTTAGACCGAATGTGCCCGGCGCGAAGGCGAAGGCCACATTTTGAAAAACACCCGCCCTCAATCAGTGAAACTGTTGCAATTTCTTAAAACGAAGATGCGCGGCCTTAAGGAGCCACTTTTTTAACACCACCCGTCCTCAACATGTAATATTCTTGCACATGGTCAAGACTAACGTGCCCGGCATTAACGCGAAGGTTACATTTTGAAAAGCACCGGCCCTCAATTAGTGAAACTTCTGCAACTGAGTAAGAAAAACGAAAGTGCGCGGCGCTCAGGCGAGAACCACATTTTGAAAACGATCCGCCCTCAATCCGTAAAGCTCTTGCAACTAAAAAAAAAAAACGAATATGCGCAGCCTTAAGGCGAACGCCGCATTGTGAAAAAACATCCGCCCTCAATTAGTGAAATGTTTGCAAACCACTCGCTCTCAATCCGTGAAACTCTTAGACATGTGAAAGCGAATGTGCATGGCGCTCAGGCGGGGGCCACATTTTGAAAACCACCCGCCCTCCATCTGTGAAGCTGTTGTCACTTCTTAGGCGTCAGAGTCATAGATGGTGAGGAAGTCTCCGGCGAAACGCCCGGCCCGCCCTAAAAACTGGCCTCGGGGAGCGACAGGGGGAAGTGATTTATGATGAAAAGGAATGGAGGAGGAGGAGGAGGAGGAGGAGGAGGAGGAGGAGGAGGAGGAGGAGGAGGAGGAGGAGGAGGAGGAGGAGGAGGGGGAGGGGGAGGGAGAGGAGGAGGAGGAGAAGGAGGAGGAGCAGGAGGAGGAGGAGGAGGAGGAGGAGGAGGAGAAGGGGGGGATGGAACGAACAGGTGCGGGCGTGGGGCGCGGGCGCGGACGCGGACCCGTACCGCTGCTCGTCCTGGAGAGCCCTCGCCATCACGGTTGGAGTCTCTTTGAGATTCTGGTCAGAGCGCGCCCCAGGAGAGGTCCACGGAGCAGCGGTGCCAGTAAAAGCTTTCTGGCCCCCTCAGGAGCACCATGTCGGCATCCCTTCTGGCCGCGTGGCACGCGGGCCTGCTCTGCCTGCCGACGCCCCCGTCTCGCTCTTCCTGGCTGGTAAGATGAGCTCTGCCGAGCTCCTGCGCCAGGCCGTGCCAGCCGACGTTCTGCCCATCCACACCGCCGCCGCAGTGGCGCAGAAGCTGCTGGAGCCTGACGCCCTGCCGGACGACAACACCGTGCTTGGCGTGAGGTACCACGACGCGTCGCTGCTGGCGAGGCACCCAGAGGTGACCTAGGCCTCCTGGATGGGGTCGGAGTCGATGGGGTCGGAGGATCGCGCCGCATCGGTGATGCATCGGATGTAACGGTTGACGTTGAGCCCCCCTTTCTCCGCGCCGACGTCACATATGCATCGGCGATGCATTGACGATGCGGCGCTGTCTTCCGACCCCATCTAGTCGGACCCCATCTAGGAGGCCCCTAGAGGTGCGCGAGCGCTTCAAGCTCCGCAACGTGGGCATGGCTGTCGCCCGGGACGGGGTGGCTCGCGCCGAGATGTGGGCGCAGCGCTTTGAGAGGCAGTCTGGAAGGGGCCTGCGCGTGACAGCCGCCAACGAAAGCGGGCGGCGACGCGCAGATTCGGGTGAAGGCGCTAGCATTCGGGCACCCGCGGATCATGCAATGGAGAACGCCCTGGATGGATATTGGTACAACAGTTCCTCTGGCCACTTCAAGATCGAAGGGATGCAGATTGTGTGGCAGAAGCACCGCCTGGCCTCCCAAGCCTGGACCCTGAAACCCGAGGGCGAAGGCAGCTACTCGGTCTCCGTGAATGGCACCAAGCATGTCGCGACTGTCGCGACGCGTCCTGGCATCTCGCTGGTGTGGGGCGATGGCGACGTGTGGGTGAAGAAGCGCGAGCTCGGCGCCTGCGCGCTGAAGAGCCGGCTGGAGGCGCTCGATGCGCTGAAGGGCCACGTCGTCTTCGGCCGCATCCCTGGCGAGGGGTGCAGCTACCGCGCGCTCGTGCGTGGCCACGGGCGGAGCGGCGAGCTGCAGCTCCTCGTGAACGAGAAGTGCCTCCCCCCTGGTGCGCCGCGCTGCGGCGCCGAGGGCCGCGAGGTGGTCGTGTCCCTTAGGGGGCCACATGCGAACCCCACCCCTGCCCCCCACGATTTCTGAGGGGGAGGGTGGGGTTCACTTCGCCTCCCCCTCAGAAATCGTGGGGGGCAGGGGCAGGGCTCGCATGTGGCCCCCTATCCCTGCCCTCGGGCGGTGGCCGCCCTGCGGCCACCTACGTGCTCGTGCAGGCGGCGGGCATCGAGGAGCTGGGCAGGTCGTCCACCGCCAGGATGTGTCCACATCACCCGCCTCGGGGTCGTGCCCTCGGATCTCGAGGAGCGGTGGGTACGGATATCTGCCCGCCCGCGTGGGCAGGCAAATGTCCACATCCACCGCTCCCCGAGTCCTCGGAACACGGCCCGTTGGCAGTGGGTGTGGTCATGATCTGGCGGCGCAGGGCGGACTCCCTGGAGCAGGCCTTCCCGCTGCTGGACATCGGGTCCAAGGCGTGGTCCCGGGCGGGGCTGCTCAAGAGCACCGCCAAGAAGATCGCCAGTGTGTTGAAGGGCCACTTCCGCCTGGCCGCCAGCATCTTGGGCAAGCAGCGGGACCTGGAGGACGCGCAGCTTTTGCAGCAAGTCTGCAGGGGGCCCCTGTACACCACTACCGTGCTTGGCTGGGGCCATCTTCGGGCCCCAGGATGGTGGTGAAGGCCTTCCCGGCCGGGGCCAGTGGCGTGGGCCCAGGGCGGTCTTGGTCAAGCATGGTGTTGCTGTGTCGGTGCCTTCTGCGCGGCAGGTGGCAGACGATTCACCAGGCTCACGCCACATCCGTCGTCTTCGTGTTTCTGGAAGTCTGGAGACCACGGCCGAGGGGGTGTTCGTGCTCCTTCGGTGCCTGGTCTTGCTTCTGATGTGTCGCTGAGGAGCTAAGGCTTCGAATTGAGGAGGAAGGCGAATCGGAAGGAGGAGGTATGATGAGCAAGAGGAGAAGGAGGAGGGGGAGCAGGCGGAGGAGGGGGATTGAACGCCCTCCTGGGGGCTTCTTGGGCTACCTGGGGGCCGTGTTGAGATCCTTTTGAGCTGCCTTGGGGCCACCTGCAACCGATAGGCAATCACATAACCAACATATTTGTCGATTCTGGTTGTCTGGGGATTCCTTGAGGTCCTCAGGGGGGCCCTCTCGGGGCCTCTTCGGGCTTCTCAGCCGCTTGTGCTGTCTCGGTAGCCTCTGGGGCTCCTACTGGGGCATCCTCGATGCCCAAACAATTTCAGCATCACCCCTGCTGCCTGACAACAACCCCCCAAACTTGCAACATCGACTCCAGGGGGACAAGTACTAAGATGAGCAAGAAATCGTGATAGAGACGTGCCTCCCAGATTTTGAGGTTTTCCTGATGTTCCGCGCGGACTCCGCAAGATACTCCACAATTTCTGAAACACATCCTGAGCCAATGGCATCATGAAATCATTCTCGTCCTGGGTATGGGTGGGTGCACGGATCTCACGCGCAGGTCGCCCCCAGGGGTCGGCGAATACCCTGGGAGCTGCGCTTCCGTGGCACCGTCAGAGCAACAAGTACCTCCAGGCTAGGGACCGTTTCGATTTGATTTCGAGTCGGACAGGTGGTTCGATCTGATTCGATTCCGATATTTCCAGTGATCCACTACGGCCTGATGCTTGCAAGCGCCTCGATCTGGCGCACATGACGGTTGGATCCGACTTCCTGGTTCGATGTTGATTGATCATGCAACCGTCGTCGTCGTCGTCGTCGTCGTCGTCGTCGTCGGCGTCCGTCGTCCGTCGTCGGTCGCCGCCCGCTGCCAGGGCTCTCGGGCAAGGGTTGAGGCTCTTGGGCGTCTTCCGTGCCGCGTCTTGGGGCTTCGGGGGCTCAGGGGACTTCCCGTGTACCTGCGTGGACGCTCCGTGAACTCCTGGGACCTGGGCTGTCGCCGCCGCCGCCGCGGTCGTCGCTCGTCGTGCGCCGTTCGATGATGGCTGTCGTTCGCCGTTCGGTCGTCGGCCTCCGGTCGTCGCCAGGCCTACCACCTGCTGAAGACGAGCTTCGCCAACCACCCGTCCCTGCAGGGCGGAGGGCCCCATCGGAGGAGGGCCAGTCGAGACCGCGGCAGCTCTCCCGCCCGGCCCAGGCCCGCTCCCGGTCTGTCCCGTCCCTGCAGTCCTCCGGGGGTCCATCCTGGCCCGCCTCCCGGGGCGGCCCAGCCACGGCGACGAGGGGCTTCCAGGAGGCCCAGAAAGGGCGGAGAGCTTCGCATGCGGGGGCGAGTCCTGGGCGCCTCGTGCGTCCTCGCCATCCCTGCCTTCAGAGTGCCTGAGCGTCGATCAGCGTCTGGCAATCGGTGAGGCAGCGCCGCCTGGCGTCGATTCAGCGTCGACTGGCGTCGAGGAGCGTTGAGGAGCACCGGTTCGCGTCGACCCGCAACAGAGCCAGCAAAATGGCAGGGGAGGCTCCCGTGACTTGCCACCGAAGCCACAGGGAGGGCCGCCGCGGGCTCGACTGGCCACCCCTCCGGCCCCGGAACTTCCCCACTGTGGTCTGCGGCGGCCGCCAAGACCGCGGCGGGTGCTCCGTCTACGACCGCGCCCTCTCGGCCCTCTGCTGGCGCGCGCCCGCGCCGGCCGCGGCGGAGGGCGCGGTGCACCCGTTTGTGCGCGCCATCCTGTCCAGGTGGGCGAGGCAGAGAAATGGGTTCGACCTTGGAGGGCAGGCCTCCTAGAAGACTGGTGCAGCGGAGACCCATGCCAAGAAACACCCTGCTCGCGTTTCGATGGCTTTTCGATGGAAAACATGACGTTCCAAGACCATATCAATGGACGTCCAGGGGTCTCAGGGCTGGGTCTCTTGTGGAAGGTTTCTTGTGAACTGGCCTCCATTGTATTTGGGGCCTACGCCAAATACCGCTCTCACGTTCTAGCCACGAGCGTCAAAAGGCGCACTGGGTGTCGTTGCGTACATAGACGCATTCGGGCCGAAGCGTCTGTGGACAATGCGGCCGTTGCCTTCGACGAAGTACACCATCGGAGACAGTGTAGATCCGTCTACGGTATGTTCCTGTTCTAGGGCAGGTCCCACATGGTACTCCAAGCTCGACCTTGGGCGACATTCGCGTGGAAGCTACCGCCTCGAGGTCGCGCGTGAGTGCCTTCGCCTCCCCGCGGTGTGCCGCGCTGGCGGCCCGCGCAAGCCGCGGCGTGAGGTCGCCATGTCATCTCCCGAGCATTTTCTTAGGGTGGAGGGCAAACAGTGGAATCTGAAATGCCGTTTCGATGGATGTCCGAGGCTGGAGTCTGCAAAAGGTGAATCACAAGACGGATTGGTTTTCGAGGTGCAGAAGTCCGTATGGATTTCACCCTGAGCCCTCCACCAAAAGAAAATGTTCAGATCTCGCGCACGAGACCCTCTTCCTTTCGCCGCGCAAGTGGCGCCGGGATCGGAGGGAGGGCCAGTAGAGACAGCGGGGGACCGTCTTGGCGCACCCACCGCGGCCGGTGGGGACTCGTGCCTGTGCCTCGTCTGCCCGCCCCCCCTCACCCTGTCCCCCGTCCTCCTCTGGGAGCGCTGGGAGCGGAGGGAGGGCCAGAGTCTCGGTACGATCGAACTGAGTACATACAGCGAGCGGCTTGAATAAGGAACACTTGCTTTTCAAAAGGGGCTCGGTCGTTCCTTACGCTTGCATGCGTTATGTATCGTTCCCTATGCGCTATTTCTTATTTTTGAACGTGAAAAAGGGGCTTCGTTCCTTACTGATCTCTCATTAGGTCATGTCGATGACTGTACGGAAGGAATGGGTCCGAAGACCGACAGCATGCTGCCGCGGACGTGGTCCACTTGAGACAGGAGGCCGCCTGCCCAACAGCGGCCGCTGTCGGTCTTGGGCAACAGTTCTTGTTGGGCATCGTGCCCATTTCTCCCGCACCCATCACGGAGATTCCTTCTTGTACTTCGCCTGCTGGCCCCCCGCGTCCTGTCCTCCGTCTTCTTCGGGACTGGGGGGGGGTCTTAGGTGGATGTTTCCTCCCACGGGCACGCACGCCGAAGGGGTATCCGAAGGATCTCGCAAGCCCCCCAGGTTTTCCCGCCTGGGGATGCTTTTTCCAGCAGCTGCGCCTCCTCGGGGGCATTCCGGGGGGGGTACCCGGAGGGCCCGAGCGGCCGCTGGAGGCCCGCGCCCCGACCCAGGAGCTGGGCCTCGAGGGCACCGCTCCTGTGGACCTCCTGGAGGCCCCTCGTCGCCGCGGCTGGGCCCGCCTCGGGAGGCGGGTCGGGATGGCCCCCTGGAGAGGTCCGGGGCCGGTTTCGCGCGCATACTTCCGCAGGCCTCTGTTCTATACGTGAGGGTGGTCTCTCGCCGGAGTGACCTCTGGGTTCGGGCACGCTGGGGTCCCCAGATGGCTGAATGAGATGCGATCGTTACGGCCTGTGCGCTCCGGTTCGGCCTCCCCGCGGCCCCTGAAGGTCGCGCACCAAAGGTCTCTCCTCGCCTAGGGTCGCCCTTGCGTGTAGCCGAAGGTTGGGGCGCTCCAGGAGGTTCCTTGCCTCCGAGGGGTCGACGGAGATGATCCCTTCCCTGGCGGACCAGTGGCGGGGGGGCGGCGGAGGCAGAACGAGAGGCAGCAGCTCCGCCAGCGGAAGCCGGCGGAAGGGCCGGCGGACGCAAGCAACAAACTGTCAATTTCTTGTGGGTTCGGGGTTTCGGGGAATTCCGCCCAGGGGGCGCCTCGTTTGCGAGGCGCGGATACGGACACGTTGCTAGCTCACGGAGAACTGGGGTCTGCAGGCCGCTCCGGACGATGCGGGCACCCCCAGAGCGCTCCCGGCAATGCAACCGACGGACACGCCCGAAAACCTCAGCAACCCCAGAGCCCGAACGCCCTTGAATCCGCCAGGTGGCGTCAGGACCACGACGTCGACGGCTTCGAGCTCGTCGACGCCGTCGCCCTGCGGCCCAGGCCGCGCGAGCCCGGCAGCCCGGCGGTCGCCGCGCCCGCTGGGGAGGGGCTCGCCGCTGGGCGCATGCTGCGCGTCGTGCGCCTCAAGGGGGCGGAGGATCGGAGCACGGGGATGTGTCCATGAGCAGGTCGGACGCACGAGGTTTTTCAGTTCTGTTCGGCTTCTGGTGGCCCTCTCCGGGTCCCAGGGCCACCAGACGGCGAGCCAGGACGAAGAGCGGGTCCCGGGAGAAGGGTCGGGACTTCTGTGGGCCCCGTACGGAGAGATTCAAGACATCAGATGACTGTGAGAGGGGGGGTACGACACCTGCTGAATGCAGCTGGCTTCGGCCCACCGCAGGCCCGTGCGCTTCATTTTTTTCACACTGGGCGCTTCCATTCGGTTTCTCACAGATCGATCGGGCTCGAAAAATGCAGCCGAAAGATGGGTCCAAGGTTTTGGTCGAGATTTCTCACGAAGTCGTATGTCTTTCGCGACGTCGGATCTCGGGTCCCGCCGCCGGGCGCTGCCCCCCAGCCACCGTTTCAGAAGCCTGACCCGAGCGGTACAGTCGCGCCGCTGAAGGAATCCTTCTTCGTGGGGGAGGGGCTCAGTGCCCCTGAATTGTTTTGCAGTTTGTCTTAGGTGATCCTGAGGCTTTCTATGGGAAGCTGAAGTTCATCCTATGGAAAACATGGCCTCGTTCCGTATGTTGGGCTCCTTCTGGCAGCGTTTCGACTGTAGGGCTCGCATGCGCTTGCCGAGTCATGGACAAGTCCCCGCGCTCGCGGGAGGAGGGGAAGACGGCCGCGCAGCTCGAGCGCGCGCTCATCACCGCGGTCCTCGAGACGGACAGCTTCTGCGAACGCGACGGCTTTGTGCTTGTGGACGCCAGGAGCGCCGCGGACCCCTCGGCCCAGAGCCTGGAGCTTGCGCGGCGCCTCGTGCGCGATCTGCTGAGGGCGCCGGAGGGCGCCTGCAAGGGGACGGTGGACGAGGAGGCGTCGGTCAAGGCGATGAGGCGCTTCAGGGGCTTCAAGTACGGGGCCGGCTCGGAGGACTCCTACTTCTGCGGGTTGATCCGGAATGCTGTGGGCAAGCTGATCGTGAGCCGGTGCAGGATGCCTCTCTACCCCATGCTGTGCATCGACATCCCCTTCGGTAGGCTCGACTGCCCGAACATCGTGGCCGGCTACAACCGCTGCTACGGCGGGGTTCGCGGCGCCATGCGGAAGGCGAGCGTGCAGGACGCGGCCAAGAGCTACGAGCAGTTCGACCAGCAGACGCGGCGCTTCTTCGACGAGGTCCTGTGCCAGCACGGCTTCTCAAAGAAGACCATTCGTAATTGTATAAACATGCACTTTCAAAGGTCCGCGCGGATTCCTCGGATCGTCGCTGGACCCCCTCACCCGCACGCGGACTGCGCCATGGGCGGCGCCGGAGGCCCCGCCATGGGGTCCAGCGTCGTCCCAAGAAATCCAGCGTAGTCCAGCGGAGCTCCGAACTTTTGTGTTTATGCAATTTTCTGTTCCACTGGAGCCGTCTCTGTTTGCCTTTCCCTGCCTCCTTCTCAGCTTTCTGTGCCCCAGTCCGTTCCCAGCGCGTCCCGTCTGTGGCCCGACCGGCGCCTGCACCGGCTTCGACCCGCTTGCGCCCGCTGACTTACAAATTCCTCTGGAGGCTTTCATGGGCGGAAAACATATCCGTATCCGCAGCCTCGCGGGCCCGGCCCCGAGGCCGCGATCCCGCTGATACAGGGCAATTTTTCTCCCGTGCTCCGTGCAGAACGTATCCGTGCGACCGCGTATCCGCGGGATCGCTCCCCAGAGTGCAGACCGCGAGTGCGTCGATACGGATGTGTGGGCCGCTCGTGGGAGTCGGCGGCGAACGAGGGGGGGAAATGGAGAGGAGAAGGCCCTCTTAGAAGGCTGTGGGACTTCTCAGAAGCCTTCGCGCCTTGTGAGAAGTTGCTTTGTTCTTCGGGGAAGGCTCATATTTTCTTTGTACACAATCGGCCTGGGGACTTCCGAACCCTCTGGGGAGGTCTTCTCCTTGTCTTTTCCCCCCCTCGCTCGCCGCCGAGAGAGGTCCTGTGCCCGCACCTCTTCGGTGGCCTGACGTTCCAACAGGCCAACGCCATCTACCGAGCCCTGGAGGAGAGCTCCTCCTCCTCCTGGCCGCTGGGGTCGGAGTAAATGGGGTCGGAGGATCGCGCCGCATCGCCGATGCATCGCCGATGCATCGCCGATGCGGCTCGATGTGGGACCAAACTTTCTCCACGCCGACGTCGCCGATGCATTGCCGATGTCGCCAGCGCGTCGCCGACACATCGCCGATGTTTTTGCGATGCATCGCTGATGTATCGGCGATGCGGCGAGACCCCCGACCCCGCTCACTCGGACCCCATCTGGGAGGCCTCCATCTGCCTTCTCCTTCGTGGACGGTGCTTTGCGTGGTGGAGCCCCCTCTCCCCCAGTTCGGCGCCACTCCAACATACTACAGCTATGTGTGCGTCGCCCTCCCACGGGCGACGCGGGCACCGAGAACTCTTATAATATATGCTCCGTGGCGGGCGCTTTCTGGTCGCACCGCTCGGGGAACCATCTAATACAATATGGGTATATTACATGTCTGGGTCGGGCGCACGTCTCCAAGGAGGACACATAGTACTAGTATGCCCTTGGCGTCCCATCCGTGGGAAGAGATTGGCAATTTTCATCCTCGCTGCACTCGTGTCGGACCATGCGTCGATTAGCGCGTCGGCGGGGAAAGTGCCATGCAAGTTCTGTAGACCCAAGCGACGTGTGACTACCAATGGGAAGAAAACGGAACGCGTCACGGGCGCGACATTGGAGCCCGGGGCGCATCACGACTGCGAAGCCGAACGCGAAAATGTCACGCGATCGGTTCTGCATAGGGTAATACAAAACAGCTGTCCCCTGGAGGAGAACGTGCCGGATGACGGCCGCACCTTCCACACGCAGCCCATCGCCGTGGCCTGCGGCCTGTTGCCGCCGCAGGGCGCCTCGTGGGCCTCCGCCACCGCGCGCGGGAGGGCCGAGGGGATCATTCCCTCGTTCCGCCGCGCCGCACTGGCCGAGGCTCCGAGGAGGAACAGGTACCGCTTCCGCTGCCCTTGGCTGTCTTTCGCCTTTTTGGGGTTCCGGGCAGCCCTCGTCGCCACGGCTGGATTCGCCCCGAAACTCTGGTCATAAAACACCCCAGGAGAGGCCCAGGGAGCAGCGATATCGGTACCTCTGGGTTCACCGAGACATCGTTTTCCTTGGTAAGCGGTGAAAGCTCATAGCTAAAGTGTGAAATTTCAGAGAGGCCAATTTCAGGCTCCCTGCGAAGATCCTGATAACCTCTTTGCAGGCTCTTTCAGGGCGCTCCTCAAGAGTTCTTCTGGAATTCGGATTCCGAATGAGTCCCGGAGGATTCGTCAGGAGACCTGAAGGGAGTCGTGGGGGATTCGTGTTCCTGCTGATTCCATAAGAATTATTGATTTCATTCCTGATGTCCGAAGGATTTTGGGATTCATTGTGGATTCTGCGGGAATCCTTGGGGGTTTATGGGGAGTTCTGAGGATTCCTCAGAAAGTTTCTGCGCACTCCTTCAGTTCCTTCAGGCCGCGAAGAGCTTTGCGTCGTGGGAACAATACGCTCCTTCGGGCTCCTTGGGGTTCCGAAGGGATTCCTCCAGGATTCGTGTGCATCACTTGTGATTCCTGTGCATTCCTGGGGATCCCCCGGAAGGACTTGTGACGCATTTCAGAAGGATTCCCGAAGAATTTCTGCTCATTCATGTTTTTTGCGAGGTTCTTGGACGATGCATGCAATATTCATGAGCGATTCTCATGATTCTTTACGGATTGTGGAATGGTGCTCGGAAATTCCTTCGGGATTATTGAAGCGATTCCTGAGGAACCCCTGAGAATTCCTTGGGCTCTCTCCCGCTTCTTGAGAAATCTATCTTGAGTGATTGTTTGCGATTCCGGAGGGTTATGAGGAAGTCTTGAGGGAGTCTTGAGGGATTTGCCTGGTGGGCTCCGAAGGGTCCTTTGGATCCCACAGACGTTCCTAAGGATTGCTTGGGGTTCCTTTGGAATGTCTTCGGGTTTCTCTTGAATTATTGCGCATGGTGTTTGTTTGGGCATTGTTTGGGACATGCCGTCGTATCTGATGTAAGATCTCGCTTAGGATATTGATTCGGAGACCGTACAGCGCCTTGTTTCGGAGATTGGTTTGGCCATTTGTTGAGACAGTATGTTCTGTGACATTGCTCAGCGTAGTGTCAGACACAATGCTTGGGAAGTTGCTCAAGGATTGGATCGGATACTGGTTCGTCTTCTGCAGATGATGTTACGGATATGGTTACGCATATGGTTCAGAATGTTGTGCCGATGTTGCGCAATCTGCTGTTCAGCATTTTTCCCCACATCCAAAGTGGGGTTATTGTTTTCTCTGGACACCTCGCGCAGGAACCTCACCTCACCTCACCTCCCACCCCTCTCCCCTTCACTCACCAGCATCATTATCATCATCATCTTCACCACTCATCGTCACTACTCATCATCATCCTCATCATTGTCACCGTCATCATAATCATCACACTCATTCACACTCACACCATTATCATCCCCATCATCAACAACATCAGCATCGTTCGATCAATCACCATCATTATCAGAGTCAGCATAATCACCATCATCACCATCATCAATCAGCATCACCACTCATCATCATCATCATCATCATCATCATCATCATCATCATCATCATCGTCATCATCCTCATCATCGTCACTATCATCATCACTCGATCATCTACTCACTCATCATCACCATCATCACTCACCCACTCACCCACTCACTAACTCACTCACTCACTCACTCACTCACTCACTCATCATTTCGTCATCACTCACTCCCTAGCTTGAATATGGATGAAGTCTCCAGCGGGAGCTTCGTCTGTGAGTGAATTGTGAGGAAGCCTCAGGCAGGAACCCCCCTCCATATGGGTCCAGCACTTCATGTTGGTAATCCGAGCGGGTCATCCGAAACGTGTAACCGTCGTCACTTTTGGGCTCTTCAGGCCTGAATTTTGGCGGAAGTACCAAGCGGGAGCTTCGTCTGTGAGTGACCTTTGAGGAAGTCTCAGGCAGGAGCCCCCTCCATATGGGTCCAGCACTTCATGTTGGTAATCCGAGCGGGTCATCCGAAACGTGTAGTTGTCGTCACTTTTGGGCTCTTCAGGATTGAATTTCGGGGAAGCATCAAGCGGGAGCTTCGTCTGTGAGTGAATTGTGAGGACGTCTCAGGCGGGAGCCCTCTTCCTATGGGTCCAGCACTTCATGTTTGTAATCCGAGCGGGTCATCCGAAACGTGTAACTGTCGTCACTTTTGAGCTCCTCAGGCTTGAAATTGGGGGAAGTATCAAGCGGGAGCCTCGTCTGTGAGTGACTTGTGAGGAAGTCTCAGGCGGGAGCCCCCTTCCCTATGGGTCCCGCATTTCATGTTGGTAACCCGAGCGGGTCATCGACAATTTCTAATTGTCGTCACTCTGGGGCTCACCAGGCTTGAATTTGGGGGAAGTGTCAAACGGGAGCCTCGTCTGCGAGTGAATTGTGAGGAAGTTTCAGGCATGAACCCCCTTCTGCCTATGGGTCCAGCACTTCATGTTGGTAACCCGAGCGGGTCATCCAAAACTGGTAACTGTCGTCATTTTTGTGCTCCTCAGGCTTGAATTTGGGGGAAGTATCAAGCGGGAGCCTCGTTTGTGAGTGAATTGTGAGGAAATCTCAGGCGGGAGCCCCTCCCTATGGCTCCCGCCTTTTGGGCCAAAACTTAAGCCTCCAAGGCCCTGCGCGGCGACTCTCCGCCATGACGGGTGCCGCACTTTATGTTGGTAATCCGAGCGGGTCATCGGATCCTTGTGTTTTCCGTCATTTCTTATGCTCGTGAGCTCCTGCGGCGTGAATACGGAGGAAGGGCTCCTCAGCTCCTGCGGCCAGAAAACGGGGGAAGTAGAAGTATCAGGCGGGAGTTTCGTCTGTGAGCGAAGTGCGGGTAGCCTCGTCTGAGCTGGTCGTCGGCAAATCTGTTGTTGTCATAGGCCTGCGTGTCCAAAAGGGCGACTGAGTTGCTGACGACGACGACGACGACGACGACGACGACGACGAGACAGCGGCCGGGCGCAGGGGTAGTCCCTTGTGTCCGGGCCGGGGGTGGTAACCCATCCTCGGCCGAATCGGGGGCAGGGGTAACCCTTTGTCTCCGGGCCGCCGGTGGTGACCCATCGGCGGCCGAATCGGGCGCAGGGGTAGCCCCTTGCGTCCGTGCTGGGGGTGGTAACCCATCTTCGGCCGAATCGAGGGGAGGGTTAACCCCTTATCTCCGGGCTGGCGGTGGTAACCAATCGTCGGCCGAATCGGGGACAAGGGTAACCCCTTGTCTCCTGGCTGGCGGTGGTAATCCATCATCGGCCGAATCGGGCGCACGGGGGAACCCGTTGCGTCTGGGCTGGCAGTAGCAACCCATCGTCAGCCGAATCGAGCGCAGGGGGAAACCCTTGCGTCCGGGGCTCGGGTGGTAACCCATCCGCGCCCGAAACCAGTCCCTCCACAAAACATGCCTTGCGTTCTCGTGGGTGAAGGCCCACTAACGCAAATTCTTTTGGGTGCTTTTCTTCGACCATGGGGGCCGCGTCCTGTTTTCAGCCCCGGGGGCCGCTTCTTTCTCTTTCGATTATTTAGCAGGCTAGCACATCGCTAAGGATCTCATCATCATCAGCATCATCATCATCCTCCTCCGGAGGAGGAGGGGGAGGAAACCAGAGGACGGAGGATGGAGGACGGAGGACGGAAGACTGAGGACGGTGGAGGGAGGACGGCGGACGGAGGACGGAAAAGGGAGGCCAGTGGACGGAGGGCCGCCTCCTCACTTCTCGCGATGCCATCTCCTCTCGTCGTCGTCGGCGTCGTCGGCGTCGGCGTCGTCGTCGTCGCCGCATCAGCATCATCGCCATAATCATCATCATAATCATAATCATCATCATCGTCGTCATCATCCTCATCATCATCCTGATCCTCATCCTCATCTTAATCCTCATCACCATCATCATCGTCGTCGTCGTGGTCGTCGTCGTGGTCGTCGTGGTCGTCGACGATTTTGCGACCTCGAAGATGCTGGATCTCGGAGGTCGGAGCCTTCGGGCAAGTATTTTGTGGGTCATTATGGTTTGAATGTGTTTTGGATATTTTTTATTCCCCACATCCTAACTGGGGTTCTTGTTTTCTCGGCGCACCCTCCGCGCAGGATCTCTCCTCCTCCCCCTCTCTCTCTCTCTCACTGTCCCTCCCATCATCATCAGCATCATCATCACCACCATCATCATCATCATCATCATCATCATCATCATCATCATCGCACTCACCACCACTCCGCCACTCCTCATCATCATCACTCACCCACCCTCCCACCCACCCACTCACTCACTCACTCACTCATCACCGCCATTCGCTTATATCACCCGAGTAAGTCTCAGGCGGGAGCCCTTATGGGTCCCGCATTTCATGTTGGTAATCCGAGCGGGTCATCGGCAACCTGTAACTGTCGGCATTTTTGGGCTCCTCAGGCTTGAATTTTGAGGAAGCATCAAGCGGGAGCTTCGTCGGTGAGTGAATTGTGAGGACGTTTCAGGCGGGAGCCCCCTCCCTATGGGTTCCGCATTTCATATCGGTAATCCGAGCGGGTCATCGGCAACCTGTAACTGTCGTCACTTTCGGGCTCCTCAGGCCTGAATTTGGAGGAAGCATCAAGCGGGAGCCTCGTCTGTGAGTGAATTTTGAGGATGTCTAAAGCGGGAGCCCCCCCCCTTATGGGATCCGCACTTCATGTTGGTAATCCGAGCGGGTCATCGGCAATTTGTAACTGTCGCCGAGTTTGGGCTCCTCGGGCCAGAA